GGCTATACTGATCCCCATCTAAGCTCGGTTTTGGGCATGGTTTTCGCTCAAAACACGAGCAAAACACTGTTTTTGACACTTTCGCGTGGGCGCAAGGCCTCGGAAAGCGTGAAAACATAAGTTTTTTGCGGAAACCTGCTTATTGGTGAGGCTTCACTGGCCCCCGCCAAACCCGGCTTTGGAGATTGCATTGCCTACAGCGAAGTGTCTCGAAATAAGAGTGAGTGAGTGAGTGAGTGAGTGAGTGAGTGAGTGAGTGAGTGAGTGAGTGAGTGAGTGAGTGAGTGAGTGGTGGAGTGAGTGGAGTGAGTGGAGTGAGTGGAGTGGAGTGGAGTGGAGTGGAGTGGAGTGGAGTGGAGTGGAGTGGAGTGGAGTGGAGTGGAGTGGAGTGGAGTGGAGTGGAGTGGAGTGGAGTGGAGTGGAGTGGAGTGGAGTGGAGTGGAGTGGAGTGGAGTGGAGTGGAGTGGAGTGGAGTGGAGTGGAGTGGAGTGGAGTGGAGTGGAGTGAGTGAGTGAGTGAGTGAGTGAGTGAGTGAGTGAGTGAGTGAGTGAGTGAGTGAGTGAGCGAGTGTGTGTGTGTTGAGTTGATGTCAGTGTGTGTTGTGACGTTACTACTGTGCACTACCTGCCATCTTAGTAGATGTTTTTTGCCACACGCTTATGGGCCTGCTTCCTTCCGCAAACGTGCCTCGCGCAAGTTGCCCCGTGCTTCGAACAGATTGCAGTAAACTGAGGCTGCCGGCGCGGCCGGTGGTGCGTCAGCAACGTAAATCCGGCCGCGCCCCCCGAAGGCGGCGAAGAGGCTGTGTGTAGATCCCTCCCACCCGCTGGGGAGGGGTTTACCCCGACTTTTTTTCCCCCATATGTATCAGCCCATAGTGGGCCAGCAGGCTCAAGAAACACAATTCGGCTCTTGGGCCCCGAGCATGGGCCCCAACTTGGGCCCAGTTTTGCGCAAACACTGGAAAACACTGTGCTTTTCTACGTTTTTGACGCGCAAAATGTGGAAACAGTGAGGCTATACTGATCCCCATCTAAGCTCGGTTTTGGGCATGGTTTTCGCTCAAAACACGAGCAAAACACTGTTTTTGACACTTTCGCGTGGGCAAGGCCTCGGAAAGCGTGAAAACATAAGTTTTTTGCGGAAACCTGCTTATTGGTGAGGCTTCACTGGCCCCCGCCAAACCCGGCTTTGGAGATTGCATTGCCTACAGCGAAGTGTCTCGAAATAAGATGAGTGAGTGAGTGAGTGAGTGAGTGAGTGAGTGAGTGAGTGAGTGAGTGAGTGAGTGAGTGAGTGAGTGAGTGAGTGAGTGAGCGAGCGAGCGAGCGAGCGAGCGAGCGAGTGTGTGTGTGTTGAGTTGATGTCAGTGTGTGTTGTGACGTTGCAATGGGAAAGGTACTTGCAACTGGCATGTTTTGGAGGCGCGGGCATTCTGCCTGCAGATTGATTAGTCGTTGAAAACATGACATCCTGGTTCGACCGACACTTTCAGGCGCGCTTTTTCGAATGGCTCTCGCTGTTCTGTCGCCGCTCAGGGCTGTCCCGCCGCGGCCTTGCATCTTTTGCAAGTCCACGATGGGAGCCTGCTTCGCATGTACTTCCCGCCTCGGGGGCGCTCTTGTTGCCACACGCTTATGGGCCTGCTTCCTTCCGCAAACGTGCCTCGCGCAAGTGGCCCCGTGCTTCGAACAGATTGCAGTAAACTGAGGCTGCCGGCGTGGCCGGTGGTGCGTCAGCAACGTAAATCCGGCCGCGCCCCCCGAAGGGGGCGAAGAGGCTGTGTGTAGATCCCTCCCACCCGCTGGGGAGGGGTTTACCCCTCCCCCCCTGTGCCGCCGACCTTTTTCCCCCATATGTATCAGCCCATAGTGGGCCGGCAGGCTCAAGAAACACAATTCGGCCCCCTGAGCATGGGCCCCAACTCTCAAACACTGGAACACACTGTGCTTTTCTACGTTTTTTGACGGCTGGAAAGGCGCAAAAAGCTCGGTTTTGGGCATGGTTTTCGCTCAAGACATGAGCAAAACACCGTGTTTTTGACACTTTCGCGTGGGCGCAAGGCCTCGGAAAGCGTGAAAACATAAGTTTTTTTGCGGAAACCTGCTTATTGGTGAGGCTTCACTGGCCCCGGCTTTGGAGATTGCATTGCCTACAGCGAAGTGTCTTGAAATAAGAGTGAGTGAGTGAGTGAGTGAGTGAGTGAGTGAGTGAGTGAGCGAGCGAGCGAGTGAGTGTGTGTGTGTGTGTGTGTTTTGATGCGAGCTCAACTGGGGAAGCCTGAAGCGACCAAGTGCGTGGAAAATGTGGAAACCTGCTTAGCAGGCAGGGCTCAACTCTCCCCGGCCGAACCCAAACCATGTTTTTAGTGGCGTTTCTGGAAGGTGCTTCGAAGTACGAAGGCCTCCAGAAAAAGCACGGGCTCGCCTGCCCGGCGCCCGGATTTAAGGGCTTACGCCTGACAGCCGGGCGCCGGCAGACAAAAAGCATGGGTCAACGCAGGGTCTGCCAGCAAGTTCAAAGCACCTTCCAGAAACGCCACTAAAAGCATGAATTTGACGTGTGTTCAGGTCCATACAAAACCATCAAAAATCGTGTTTTTTATTTGTTGAGCCCTGCCTGCTAAGCAGGATTCCGCATTTTCCACGTGTGCGCCCGGCCTAGAATCGACCGGTGGGTCGGCGGCATTCAAGCCGAAGGTTTATAAGGGCCGCGCCCCCTGCCGCCGACCCACCCCGGTCGATTCCGGCTCACCCCCGCTCGATTCCGGTTCACCCCCGGTTCACTCCGTGTCGAAACCTTGCTGCCAGGGGGGAAAACGTTTTCGGGCGCATTTTTTCAAAAGGGGTTGGCATATTGTCCGCATCCATGGCGGACATTGAGGCGGACATTGGCGCGGATAATGCCGGTGATGCGGGGGATGCTGGGGATATTCCGCCCTAAGTCGGGCCAATTTGGCCGAACACGTGGAAAAACACAGTCTTTTTGAAAGTTTTTGGCGAGCGCAAGCGTGGAAAATATGGAAACCTGCTTAGCAGGCAGGCCTCAACGGCCCTGGCCGAACTCGATTTGGCAGGATTTTTTGTGAACCCAGCAAAAAACACTGTGTTTTCGATAGTTTTGTGTGGATTCCGGCTCAGGTTGATTCCGGTTCACCCCCGATTCGGACATTGATGCGGACAATGCCGGTGATGCGGGGGATCCATGGCGGACATTGGCGCGGATAATGCCAGTCCTGTTTCCCCCTAAGTCGGGGCCAATTTGGCCGAACACGTGGAAAAACACAATCTTTTAATGGGCGCGAACGCAGAAGATTTGGACACCTGCTTGGTCGGCCTTCACCGGCCGGCACCCGGCTGTCAGGCGTAAGCCCTAATGCGGCTACGCCTCCTGGGTAGCATGTCGCGACTAGGCAATTAGCCTGCTAGCTTCAGCTATAGGGGCTGCACCCGGGCGCCACCGACCCTCGTCACTTGGTCGTGATGCGTTGCTTACATCCGGCCGGGCGTGCGGTTTTGCTTGCTGTGGGAAACCCTTGGAAAAAAATCGGGTGTGTGCAGGGTTTAGGCCATGTCGCTGACATCATCAGGGTCAGGGGTTGAGCCTGGGTGATGCTTCAGCGGGGCTTGGTCTGCGTCATCAAGGCTTCCTTCCAAAAAGCCTCTCAACCCAAGCATTGTTTTTTAGAAGGCGCCGGAGGGATATAAGCGAGGCTCAGTTTCGCTCATTTTGGCGCCAAGCGCTGCCGGGCATGCCGGCGATGCTGGGTCCTCGCTCTACAAAACGCTGTAAATACCGTCAAAAACAGTTTTGCTTTTGCTGTGGCTGGCTCGCGTGCTGCGCGGTCCTTGCTTTTTTCCGTTGGTTTTCGGGCCTTCTGGCGCGCGCGCGCGACCCCAGCCACAAAACGCTGCTATTTACGGCGTTTTGTTGCATTTGCGCTTCCGGGCTGGCTTGCGGGCTGCTCTTTTTGGGCTGCTCTTTCTGGGCATCATCTGCAATCTGGGGTTGGGGCGGGCAACACGCACAACCTAACCAGCCATATCATAGCACAGGATACGTTTCTCATACAAAAAACATGACATGACATGGTATAACTTCAAAGAGGCGTAGCCGGCTAGAGGCTGCAGGCCTAGAAATATCTTTGCATTGCTAGGCCTTGGGCAACTTAAATCCGGCTACGCCTCCCGGGGTAGCCGCTAGGCAATTAGCCTGCTAGCTTCAGCCATAGGGGCCCCTAGCGCCGCCGATCCTTGTCACTTGGTTGCGACGCGTCGCCAAAATCCGGCACCTCTGCATCACCAGCTCGGGCTTGCGGTTTTGCTTGCCTGTGGGAAACCCTTGCAAAACATTGCGTATATGCAGGGTTTAGGCCATGTGGCTGACATCACCCACGAAGCACTGTTTTTCAGAAGGTGTCGGAGGGATGTAAGCGAGGCTCATTTTCGCGCATGTTGGCGCCAAGCGCTGCCGGGCATGCCGGCGACGCTGGGCCCTCGCTCTACAAAACGCTGTAAATACCGTCAAAAACTGCTGTGCTGACCGGTGGGCTGTTGTTCTGTCCGTTTTGCTTTTGCTGTGGCTGGCTCGCGTGCTGCGCGGTCCTTGCTTTTTTCCCGTTGGTTTTCAGGCCTTCTGGCGCAAGCGCGCGCGCGAGACCCCAGCCACAAAACGCTGCTATTTACTGTGTTTGGTTGCATTTGAGTTTCCGGGCTGGCTTGCGGGCTGCTCTTTTTGGGCTGCTCTTTCTGGGGCCTCTGGGCGCGCGCGTGCGACCCCATGTCAGCCTTCTGGGTTGGGGCCCGGCTGGGGCCCAGAAAGCTGGCATCCCCGGCATCATCTGGAATCTGGGGTTGGGGTGGGCAACATGCATAACCTAACCAGCCATATCATAGCACAGGATGCGTTTCTCAATAAACACGACATGACATGGTATAACTTCAAAGAGGCGTGGCCGGCTAGAGGCCGCAGACCCAGAAAATATCTTTGCATTGCTAGGCCTTGGGCAATCAGCAGTCCGCCGCCAGCCAGGACAGTGGCTGCAGCCTTGGTCTGAGTTGCTCACAAGAAAGACAAGAAGGCATTTTGAAGGTCGGTGGAGGCTTGAAACCAGCAGGGAGGGTGGTAGCGCACCGTTGCTGAAAGCTTCGCAATTAAAACGTGTTTCGTCTCTCAGTGAGAAGTTTCTTGAGGACTTGATCAAAACTACAACGGTGTGTGTGTGTCGTTGCGTTACTCGTGTTGATGCTATCGCGTCCTGCGTGTCAGAATGAGGTCGCTCTGCACCGAGCGTCCATCTCAAAGGCTTGCCCGCCCCTTGCTGAGATCCTCACCACTGACAGGAAGCTGTAGAACTCAGGGCAAGGAAAGCTGCTTCGGTACAAGAAAATTGAGTTTGCTACCTGAGTCACACACAACTGCTGACCGTGCAACATGATGAGCTCCGTGCTCCATCCAGTTTCCAAACAAAGACATCGGGCACGCAACTTGTGGTGAAGCACATGTTGCGTCCAGGCCTTTTTGTTGTTGCATGATATCTCAGCCCGGAAAGTGTCTCGCAGTTGCAGCTTTTGCAAGGCGAATGCCATCATCTGGGTCTCTAAGCGTTGCTCCTGAAAAGACAGCGCAGCAAATACCCTGAAAAGGACAAAACTGCGCTGCGCATTGCGTGGGCTATCGGTCAGGTTTTGGGTCGCTGTACGGCTCTGTGGCGCTGCTGAGCAGCACGGGTGGCAGCGCATAGAAATTAACCTGTTCAGGGCACTGACGCGCTCCCTGGTCCGGCCTGAACAGCAGCAGATGGCAAGAGCAGCTGCGGCCCGCTGAGGCGGTAGCATTGCGCTTGAGAAACTTGGGTTTGCGTGCTGTTTCAAGCACCAAACGCTTGCAGTGTGAACTCGAGGGCCAAAGCCAAGCACAAAGCAAACTTTGTTACCTCAGAGGTTGAGCACGAAGCAAACTGTCAGGACATCGGTGGGCATGACGCACCCTTACCCGCAGCACAGGCGCTTGCTTTGACCGGCGTGGATGTTTGCAGGCACTAGGCACGGAAGGCAGCGCATGAAATCGCGCCAACCCCGGCTGGGCGCCCGGCCATGCATGCTCCACACGAAGTTTGACGACGGCTCGCCTGACGAAGTGGATAGCCAGAATGATGTTCTTCGCGTTGAAACGCGGAAAACCTTTTATGGCACGCAGCACTGCGAGGCGGTGTTCGCAAATACCACTCTGCCTCTGGCAAGCGCCATATTGCAGAACGCTTTCAGATTGTTCTGGCTGCCCTTATCAAAGAGCGGTGTGTGAACGCAGTGACCCATGAGCGGCGGGAGTAGTTGTTCAGCAAGCGGGAGTAATTGTTCAGCTGCCCTGCGAGGCTGCGGCGTCGCTATTGGGTTCCGCAACACTGACTTGTGGCTACACGCGGCGCAGAGGGATGCCTCGGATGAGCAGAAACCGAAGAGCGCATGGTTCGCTTGATTTTGGCGTACTGATGATGAGCGCCAGAGCGGTCACACGCTGGTCTGTTGCACCTCGTGAGAACCAACGTTGCGCCTGCAATCGGGGAAATGGCAAAAAGTAAAAGCTGGGGGCGCTGACATCGCGCAACGTCCAGGCCAGGGGCGAGGTTGCAAGCAGACCAGCCAAGCTTACGAAAGCAATGTGCTGAGTAGCATCATACTCCATGGAGATGTTGTGGCAATGCGTGGAAACAAGCCCGTACAAAGATGGGGACAATGACGAACTTGCAGACACGACAAAAAACACGCGCGCCACGAGCGCGACCGAGCAAATCATCCTCGCGGCAGCGCGCAAGCGCAGCAAAGTAAAACCGCCCGCCAAACGACCGCGCTTTGTGGCCTTGCTGCAGCACGCAGCGCAGCAGCGCTGGCAGCGCGTGGCAGTGGCAGCGCGTAGCAGCGGACCAAGTATCGCTAACCTACACCGCCCACGCGCAAGTCTTGGGGCGGACTGATCAGGGCTCAAAACCTCATTGCCAGGGCCGGGGCGATGGTGTCCTGCGTTGGCTCATAGAACGCCTCCGACATCTCAAGCCAAATGCGGAAAAGCACTTGCGACCCGTACGAACTCACTGGCTCACAGCGAGTCAATTTACCGACAGCTCTTTGGAGTGGCCCGGCCTCAAGGGGCCGCCACTCTGCCAGAGAGCGACCGGAACCTCAGTACACCGCTTGAACACATTTCCCCGAGCTCCAAAGGCCAGTCTGCATAATGAAAAAATATCCCGGCAAAAAAACCCCGAGTGGTATTGGGGTTGACTTGGCGACAGGTTGCCCTGAGGCATACAAAGACGTTAACCCTGACACCGCTCCCACCTGATGAGAATCGAATCGTAAACACGTCAATGTCCCTGATCAAGAGAAGCTTCTGCAAGTTCTGATGAGCAAGCTTCGCATCATGCTTCACAATCTCCTGTCAACTTCCCGTGAGCGCTATGCTGTGGCTTGATGCTGCGCGAAGCTGTGCGTGATGTTGAGCGCGATGTTGCGCATGATGTCGCACGACATTGCGCACGATGCACCGCATGATGCTGCGCATGATGCTCTGCAACCTCTCTTGCCAAATCTTTCATGTCCTCTCTGCAAAAACTCTCTTGCCCATATCTGTGCGCAGCTTGCCGGAGCTCGCGGCCATTACGATTTTGCAGCCGGAGCGCTTCGCGTACAACTTTGGACTTAAAAGTTGCGAGTCTCGCGCCAGAGCCATGGGAACGCACTTCGTATACTTTTGCGAAACTAAAAAGTTGCAACTTGAAAGCCGGAGCTCTGGGAGCGGACTTCTCATACGACCTTTGTACTTAAAACTTGCCCATTTCGAGCTGGAGCTGCGGGAGCGCACTTCGTGCACTTTTGCGCTCAAAAGTTGCGATGCTCGAATTTCGAGCTGGAGCTGCGGGAGTGCGTTGACTGTACGGCTTTTGTACTTAAGATTGCGATTGCGCAGTCGGAGCTCTGAAGTGCTCTTCGCGTGCTACTTTTGTACTTACAACATGCGGGCCTTCAGGGAATGTACTTCGCGAACTACTTTTGTACTTAAGAAGCGCGGTTTTACAGCCGGAGCTCCGGGAATGCTCTTCGCGCGTTACTTTTGGTACGTGAAAGCTTGAGTGCGCAGCCGGGTGCTGAAGCAGTGCGCTTTGCGTGCTCGCTTTGCACGTAAATGTTGCGGGAGCTGCGGGGGTGCGCTTCGCACTTCGCACGGCGTCGCAGCGCGAGCGCTCGATCTCCGCAGATGGTTCGCCGAGCTCAAGACAAATTCGCACGTCGCCGCAGCCAGGGCACTTCGACACGCGCGATCTCCGCAGCAGGTTCAACAAGCGCAAAACACATTCGCACGGCGCCACCGGGAGAGCACGATCTCCGCAGAGGGTTCGCCAAGCTCAAGCCCAAAGCGAGAGCGCTTCTACTTGCTCATAGATGTTCTTGCTCTCATGTTTCCTCCCCTTTATAAGCCCCGTCCGTCTATACACACGTGTGTAGTAAAGTGTTTGGGGTTCGCGGATTCTTGGCTTCTCGATTTCTCGGCTTCCCGCGTTCCCATTGTCAGATTCTCGGATTCTCGCGTTCTCGGGCGGTTTCTCGGCTAAATCTCAGTTTAGGCTTCACGGCTCCGGTTTCTCGGTTTCCCGGATTCAGACTCTCAATTTCTCGGCGAAACCTCCAACCAGCGCTGAGATAAACGAGGCAAGAAGTCAAGAAGCCGACAAACCGAGAACCCAAGAAAGCGAGAATCAAGGAGCCAGCAGAGCCGAGAAGCCGAATATCCGACCAGCTGAGAAACGCAGAAGCCGAAAGATGAGCTCAGCCTGCCACTGGTGGTCGCTGTAGCGCTTGCTGGCTGGGTGGTTGGGCGTGGAAGCAGGGCCAATGATTTTCACATGAGCCGCCGAACAATGATAGCCTGAGAAAAATGAAGAAAACTCAATAAGCCAAGAAAACCGGTAGCGCAGGCAGGTGCGACCTTCAGTCCGTTGGGCATTGCTCAATGCTCGGACAGGGAGCTTCCGAAGCAGATTTTGCAGGAAGTTCGTGTCTCTTGAAGATCATGCCACCAAGGCTGGCGTGTCTGTGTGGAAGTTCAAACCCAAGTTCCATACGTTCCAAAAGCTGGCGGGCGAACCGAGCTCTAAGCTGGCTGTCTTAGCATGAGGATTATCGTGGAAGTGTGGCTGCCACTTCCAAAAGAAGAAGTGGAGCGAACACTGTTTTGTCCTCGTCCAGCAATGCGCTGGCAAAGTTCTGTGCGCGAAACAGAGTTCCTAAGTGGCCAACGCGGTGGAAATCAATCAGAGCGCTTGGTTGTGAATGAGCTTCCTGTTCAGACGACTTAAAGCATATTGCTTTGGCGAGAAGCATCTTGCTCAGTTATTGTTGAAACATTGGCCTCCTGCGCCGGAGGCTTATACAGCATTGCCCCTGCGCAGGAGGCATCTCGCTTCGCCGGCGCTTGAAACACTAGCCCTCCTGCGCAGGAGGCTTAAAGCATTGCTCCATTGTTCTTGTGCTGGGCTTCCTGCTTTTCTTAAGTTATTGGTTTCAAAACTTTAGCCTCCTGCGCAGGAGGGCAACACATGTTGCTCAACTTCAAACCAACAATTTAATTTCACTTTCCTCGGCATCTGCTTTAAAAAACATCCCTGATTTGTTTACTTCGGAGTATTGGGCTCTCTGCTTCGCCAAGCGCAAGACACATTCGCGCGGCACCGCCGCGACAGTCGCCCAGCCCGAGACAGCGAGAGCGTTTCGACACGCTCGATCTCCGCAGAGGGCTCGCCGAGCTAGAAAAAGAAAGGTCCGTTTCATGCGAAGCTGTCGCACGCAAGACAACTTCTTGCGACAACTGCCACGGCCTTAGAGGTCTGATTGTCCAAGCGCCGTAGCCTGACCCGACACGGAGACATCCACGGCGTAGCAGCCCTGTCAAAAAACACACTTTGATCTCAAAAGCGGGGCTTCCTCAACATACACCCCGAGTTGTCGTGAGAACCTTGCGCGCCTGAGGCTTTTGAAGAAAAGTTTCGCGCGAGTCTTCCAGAAAAAAACCCGTAGCGGGCACCTTTGCTGCGTTGCCCCTGCCAGCAGAAGCCGAAAATGAGCACGGCGCCCCGCAGCGAAAGCGCACCGCTCGCGCGAAACCGCACTTCTCGAGAGACTTTTGCATCAAAGACAACTGTTTACGCGCAGGGCCAGCACTTTGAGCCCGAACCCTCAGTCTAACCCAGCCTTGACTCTTACCGTAGGAACCCCCTTGGTGTAACACTTTTTGAAGAAAAGCTAGATTCCAGAAAAGGTAGACGGCTCGTGGGATCAAGTGGGGCGAGTTTCATCCGCGGTGTAGATGTTGTTTCTTCGAACACATGGCGGAACCAAGGGATGGCGCCAATACCCCGAACCTCAAGCGGTGCGATTTGGCAGTCGTGATCACAGCCCTGTAAATGCAAACAAATTTGGAAATGCGCAAATGGCCCGGCCAAATTGAAGAAATGTGTATCCCCAAAAGCATGCAAGGGAGAGCTACAAAGGCTACAGGGTTTCTGCGTGGCGTGAGGGCAGAATTGTGGTTCTACACGACTTGCCAAACTTGTCTGCTCAACCAAACCAACAGGCCCCGCAGGCATTGGACGTCCAAAGTGGGATTTGAGCACCTGTTGCAGTCGCTCCGACATCTGTCAGGGAACAGAAACCAAATGCTGTATCCTTGGACCCTTGGAAGGCGCTTCCTTTGAGCGATTCGTCGGGACCTAGAAATTAAACGTTATCATCTTTCAGAGCAATGACACAAAACACCCGATTCATACTTCAACTTGCTTTGCGCGAAGGAGACCGCCCTGAGCTGTCCCACAAGCAAGGGCTCGACTCTGCTTTCGCTGTTGTACGGATCCGTCTGGCTCCTAGCAATGCGCCCCGCATTCCCTGCTAGGCAGGGTCGGAAATCTGCATTGCCAGGTTCACGCTCATCCCAATCCCAGCAACTGTTTTCGTGGACGGAATTTTGTTTGCCTAGTTTTCCCGGAAACCAAAGGAAACTACCAGAGCTGATGTTCAAAACGTCCAGGTCGTAGGGAAGTCTTACGCCGACTCGCCTGCGCGAGCTTACGCAAGCACAGGGGTAGCTTACGCAATCAACCGCTCCGCTTGCACTTGCACGACACACTTACGCGGTCCTTAGGCCGCCTTCAATCGCAACTCAAGTTGTTTTGAACCCTGCTGCAAAAGGAAACCAGACACTTTGGATGCCAAAAACTTGGGACAAACCTAGATATTCTTTGTGCAAACACGCAGTTCAGCCGTCCGGCCATTCATTGAGTAGTCTTGCGCGCAAACAAGAACAACCCTCGGTATGTAACACACTACGCCGCTGCAGGGCTGACCTGCGTGCTTGTGCGAGGCATATGTTGGTTTTCCTCGCGTGACATATCAAGGCTTCGTTTTGAAACAAAACCAAACGCGCGCTGCTGACATGCGCTTAAAGGTTCGCATGTTTTCAATAAACAAATATATACGGAAATTGCTTGCGGTCCCACAAAAAGGCTGTCGTCCACTCAGAAATTTCACGATTACTGCTCAGATTGCCAACCCTGGGCCTCCTCCTTCACTTCCAGGTTCTTTGGGGCTTCCTTCACATCGCAGGCACACCCTGAAGTCACGCGGAGCACGCGAACAACCCTCACCTCTTTGGCTTCAAGGTCCTGCGAGTCTTCTTTCGCCTGCGTCCGTGCAAGGGCCGCGCGGCGCACCGTGTTGAACGCCTGCCTTGGGCGCGATCTCCTCCTTGCAGGGAAACACGTTTGGGCAAAGATCTGTTGCGTGTTCTCTGCAAGCTACGCACCGTGCTGGGGCGCCTGTCTGACATAGCCTACCCAAGGCCCAACAAAACACGGACCACCCAGCTCCTGCGCCCGCCGTGGCTGGCCTGCATGATCACAAAGCCAGCTGGCTGGCAAATGGCTTAAACAACCAAAGAGCGTTCGGTGCGAATGAAACAAGACTACTTCCTAAAACACCAACTCCCGACTCTACCCCAGCACCATTTCATCTTTTCTGCTCTGACTTCCTGTGCTTCCTGCAACGTTTGCGAAAATGCATCTCAAAGTTAAGGTGTGCGATCGGCGAAAAAAACAAGACCGATCTCCGTCAAAACGCAACCGAGTACCTGACAAACAACCAGTGACTGCGACAGATCGTAGCACGATCGGTTCGGATTCACGTGCCCCCGCCCACGCCCGAAACAGCGCGCGACTGCCGCGCTGTCACAAGTGTCATCTTTTTCCTTTGATGGTGGAAGGTGCGCGCCGCACTCTGCCAGCCACTCGCCCGACCAGTTATCTGGTTTGCAAAGCACTTCACGGGATGACTCCGTCGCGCGCGCCGCGTGTAGAAAAAGCAGGTCATGCGCCCCTCTCGATCCGTCGGGCGTTTGCTCTTTCCGCCGCCACACCTGCCCCGCCTCCAAGAGGGCAGCGAGGGCACAACACGTTTCTCCCAAAGCTGGGCCTCTCCACTCTGGGGGCGCCCGGAGCAGTTGCGTCAGTTTCAAGCGCGTTGTAAGTTACACACGCAAGTTACAAAAGCTGTGTGAGATGTGTCTGGTGTATACTTGGGCAAGATAGCTATTCGTGTCGGTAGCCGCTCGACAAGCCCCGTACGATTTAGGCCACGTGCTATAGAAAGTTAGCAAACCCTTTAGCTTGGACTGCCATAGCAACCTGTAAACTTCATGGGGAAAGTAGTATGTCAGTGTGTAAGCCAATGCATAGCGAAGTGGTTGACTGGCGGTTGAGGCTGTTGTTGTTTTTCAGAAGGATAGAAAAAGCAACTGCTGTGTTTGCACTGTTGCTTGTGTTGCAAGCAGCATTGTCTGGCGTTGAGTGAGCAAGCAACCTCTGCATCGCAGGCACTGGTTGAGCAGACATGCTTGCTATCATATTTCTTCACTGCGTCAACGTGTTTCCGCGCTGCGTGGCTGGTGTCTGACATTAACCAAATTTGGCTTCCAGCCAGCCACGATCCAGGCTTTGAGTTGCGCAGCCGGGTTTGGCTTCATGTTTTGCACGTGTTCATCCCCATTGGGCGGAAGCGTTGCTGCGGCGTTACACTGCCATCCTTGCAGCAATCACACTGATCAAGCTGGCCGTGCCAAGCTAAGCATGGGTGTTAGCTACGCATGGGTGTTGCAAACAAAACGTTTTTTGCTTTGCTTCAAAACCTTGCAGGCGCCAATTGCCTTGCCTGACATGGACAGGGACAGCATAAAGGTTAAACCAGATGAACTGCAAGAGTGCGTCGCATGGCGCGCTGGCCAAAAGCACTGGGCGGCGCAGCTTTGTCTGGCATGCAATATTGACCATGAGGAACGAGAGCCGATTCTGTGTTTCGCATTACAGTGAGGACGGCGGGTTAAACTGATGCGCTCGCAGCTGTCTTAGTCTTAGTCGAAGAAACTTCGCGATCGAATTCCCATCAGAAGCAGTGATATGCGCTGGCAGGCGGTGTCTTAGTCGAAGAAAGATTGCGAACTCGCTTGCAAAGCAGTGGCTACGAAGATTCGGCAAGAGGAACACCCAGGGCCAGGAGTTGCGGCAAACTCGCAAACCATCCCTCATGTCTCACGATTTGTCGTAAGATGCTCGGTCATGCCCATCATGCAAAGCCAGAGGTTGACAAACTGAATTTAGCCATGCCTGGCTGCACTTGCGCAACCTTGATTGCGAGCATGTGTGCCAGCCACAAACTCTTGCGCTGCTTTGTCAGCTCCAAGCTGGCTTTAGCCATTCTGGCCGCGCTTGCGCTGCCTTGGTTACTGGCTTTAGCCACGCCTGGCTGGACTTGGTTGGTTGCATGTTTGGTTCCAGCGTGAGCGCATGTGCCTCCTGCTTGTTTTTTGCCAGCCATTTCTTGCTGACCCAGAAAACGAAAGCAGACCGTCTTGTTGCACATCAAACAGGCGCGCGGATTTGACTGGCCATGTGCATGACAGGGTTGAAACCACCACGTGGAGCAACCGGCCTAGGATTCTTCTTGATGGTCATGTTCTGTGGGACTGTGGGCGTAGTCAACAACACAGCTGCGCTACAGCCCCGACACCGTCGCAAACACCTTGGCGTCAGCCAAGCCATGCCCGCAACGCACGTTGGAAAGCTGCGCGGCTCACCGGTTGCATGGGGCGCTGATTTGCCCACAGGATGATTGAAGCAGTGAACTTCTGGGCGCCGAAAATGGCTGAACGATGCAATCCTTTACGAATTCAACACGTAACATGTTTCAAAAACTACGCGGGAACATTGGCTCAGGCTGATTGTGCTACAATCTGGCCGCGCAGGTTGTACTAGGTGTTCTGTGTGTGTTTCATTTGCCGCCGCAACGCTGGCAGTGTGACAGAACGGTGAAGCAAATCTTGGCCAGCTTGGTTTGCTAGCCAAGTAGAAGGAAGTTGAGCAGCTGCTGCTGCCCAAAGGCATTGCTTACATGACGTGTGAATTCAAGCTGCAGGCTGTCTTCGCAACCTGCTTTGAGGTTTCCAAGAAGAGAGGAGATGAGCAAGCAATTTGCCGGCTTGATGGCGCCAGCGAAGGGGCACAAGGTTTTGGCCATTGGTAAGGCCTTCCCTGCGTTGCCGCGCCAACTCCATTAAAGGTGAAATGGAGCTTGCTTTGACCATGGCCTGTGCAGCAAAAGGGCAGAGACTGGGATGCCTTGAGCCAGGCTACACACGCCGCAGCCGCCGCGCGGGCTGCTCTGGAGTCGTTTTCGTTCAGCAAAGACTGTCACCCATGAAGATATGACCATCACCAAACACAAGGCTTGCTCAGCCACACTTGGTCCAGCAAATTTGCGCAGACCTACCATAATGTGGCTTTGTCAAGAAAGGGCTTACAATGATCTTGACACCGCTGAAAGAACGGTCACAGTTTTGGCCCAGCCTGGAAAAGGCTTCAAGCCAGCGGCAACAACCAACATCAAAATGGCGGACAGGGTGAGCAACATCACCTTCATGGAGCCAGAGTGGAAAGGCTATGGGTCTTGCAGCTCAAGCGCAGAGCCAAGAATTTACACTTTGCAGCCCAAGCATCCAGAAAATGAGTTTGAGCAGGGTGTGTTCACTTTCCGCGCAAGCAACTTCCAAAAGGGCAAATGGCTGAGGCCATTGAGAAGCACGACGGGCCCATCCATCAGCGCCAGGATGGAGCCATCCTTGGCAGCAGCATGTCGCGTCGCCCTGTCGCAACTACCGCCAAACTTAGTGGCTGGCCAGCTAAGAACCCAAAGGTGAGAGAACAACATGAATGCATTGTTGCGACAACCTGAAACTCGAACACAGTTGACTAATCCGACCTCCCAAAGCGCATTTGCGCCACTTCCAGCTCAGTCCGCAAGGGGCAGGGCTGGAGGTTTGTTTTTGCAACACCAATCTTCACAGGCCCAGTTGCTAGATACGCTCATGTTGCTGCAATGGAGCGCTTGCGCTGAACCAAACGCTAGCTAGTTTCTCAAGTTCACAAGCGAGGGCGCCCAAAGAAGACTGCAAATACTGGCTCCGCGCCACGACACGCGACTCGCCAGTGAATGGCTCCATTTCGCATGGCCCTTGTAAGCCATGTAGTTGACTGCCACCATGATGGCAACTGTACTCCGTGGGACATTGTTGTCCTGCTGAAATTCCATGTTGTCGGCGACCCAGGACTTTTGATGGGTCTGTAGGTTGCCTACAACACAGCTGAGAAACTGAAGAGGCGCTGGAAGCCGACGAAGACGGGGAAGCCCGTGTGCCGCGCAAGCCCCAGGTCAATCACACGCGCCTTGAGCGCAGACGTCTGACCAGCGGAGGGCTCGCCCGGGTAAATGGATGGTGCCAAGGCTTCGTTTGTGTGCAGACCCGTGGCCGTCGCTGCGAGAAAGACCAACACAGGTCTGCACACTCAGGCCATCATGATGAACGCACTGATTGCACCATCCCCTGCTTCGCTTGAAAAAAGTTCACTGCATCGTTGCGGTTGGCGGTTGAGGTCCGGCCAGGTGAGACGTGTTGGAAGTTGGAGAAGGAGCGTGTGGCAAGCGTGCAAAGGCTAAAGATTAGATGAAACACGCTCCGCTTTGACATGCGGCGTTTCCTTACACTGGAGTAGGCAAACAAATCGAACAGCTATTCACCCCGTTTTGTTTGCCTTCCTGTTGCTGGGGCCCTGAGATTCTTCACCGAAATAGTAGGCCAGTGACTTGCAACTCAACACCCTTTCGAATTGGCTACAGGCCCATGCACAGCTTTCTTACACACGGGGAGGGAAGTCTGTTTGTTGGCGTGGTTGGACAAGCCATCCTCATACCCGGCCTTTTCTTGGCCGGACCGGCCCGGCAAAGGTGAAGAAGCAGGCTCCCAGCCTTGGGGCTGAGAATGCCATCTCATAGTAGCATCTCTCGCAATCCCAGAATCAGCTTGTTTTACGCCCGGCTTTGCCATGCGGATTCCGCGCACTTGCCCCGAAGCAAAAGAGGCGAGCGAAAGACAGAGGGGCAGAGAAAGACAGACAGAGAGAGAGACTTTCTTTCTTTGTCTCCATCCTTCTTTCTTCTCTTTCTTTCTCTCTTTCTCTCTCTTTTTCTCTCCTCTCTCTCTCCCTGTGTCTCTTTCTCTTTTTGTCTCCTTTCTTTCTTTCTCTTTCTCTCTCTTTCGCTCTTGCTCTCTCTCCCTCTCCCTCTCCTTCTTCCTCTTTTCTTTCTCTCTGTCTCTCTCTCTCTCTCTCTCTCTCTCTCTCTCTCTCTCTCTCTCTCTCTCTCTCTTTACCTCTCTCTCTCTATCTCTCTTTCGTTCTGTCTTTATTTCTTTCTTTCTTTTCTGTTGTTATTTGTTCTTTCTTTTTCTCTTTGTATTCTCTCTCTCCCTCTTTTTCTTCCTCTCTCTCTCTCTCTCTCTCTCTTTCTTCCTCTTTCTCTTTGTCTCTTTTTTTTTGTTTCTCTCTCTCTCTCTCTCCTTCTTTCTTTTTCTTCTTTCATTCTTTCTTTCTTTCTTTCTTTTCTTTCTCTCGCTCTCTTTTTCCCCAAACAGTTTACTGTGAGGGGTTCTAAATTCATTTAAGGTGGCTCGCCTGTTGCCAAGCCCTAGCCTGGATGCCTGGCACAGCTCTCTGGGTGGACGGGTTCATTTGTCTCCCTGTGTCTCCCTTCATTTGTCTCCCGTTGTCTCCCCGCCTGGATGCCTGGCACGGCTCTCTGGGTGGACGCGTTCGTTTGTCTCCCTGGGTTCACTTGTCTCCCTTTGTCTCCCTTCATTTGTCTCCCGTTGTCTCCCAGCCTGGATGATCCAGTCTGGGTGGACGGGTTCATTTGTCTCCCTTTGTCATTTGTCTCCCGTTGTCTCCCAGCCTGGATGCCTGGCACGGCTCTCTGGGTGGACGGGTTCATTTGTCTCCCTTTGTCTCCCTTCATTTGTCTCCCAGCCTGGATGCCTGGCGCGGCTCGGGTTCATTTGTCTCCCTTTGTCTCCCTTCATTTGTCTCCCGTTGTCTCCCAGCCTGGATGCCTGGGTGGACAGATTCACTTGTCTCCCTTTGTCTCCCTTCATTTGTCGCCCGTTGTCTCCCAGCCTGGATCTGGCACGGCTCTCTGGGTGGACGGGTTCATGTGTCTCCCTTTGTCCCCTTCATTTGTCTCCCGTTCTCTCCCAGCCTGGATGCCTGGCACGGCTCTCTGGGTGGACGGGTTCATTTGTCTCCCTTTGTCTCCCTTGATTTCTCCCGTTGTCTCCCAGCCTGGATGCCTGGCACGGCTCTCTGGGTGGACGGGTTCATTTGTCTCCCTTTGTCTCCCTTCATTTGTCTCCCGTTGTCTCCCAGCCTGGATGCCTGGCGCGGCTCTCTGGGTGGACGGGTTCATTTGTCTACCTTTGTCTCCCAGGATGTCTGGCACCCCTTTGTTTCCCTTCATTTGTCTCCCGTTCTCTCCCAGCCTGGATGCCTGGCACGGTTTTTTTGGTGGACAGATTCACTTTTCTCCCTTTGTCTCCCTTCATTTGGCTCCTGTTGTCTCCCAGCCTGGATGTCTGTCACGGCTCTCCAGGCGGACGGATTCACTTGTCTCCCTTGGTTCCCCTTCATTTGTCTCCCATCTCTGTGGGTGGACGGATTCATTTGTCTCCCTTTGTCTCCCTTATTTGTCTCCCGTTGTCTCCCAGCCTGGATGCCTGGCACGGCTCTCTGGGTGGACGGGTTCATTTGTCACCCTTTGTCTCCCTTCATTTGTCTCCCGTTGTCTCCCAGCCTGGATGCCTGGCACGGCTCTCTGGGTGGACGGATTCATTTGTCTCCCGTTGTCTCCCAGCCTGGATGTGTGGCACTCACGCTCCGCGGTTTCCTTCACTTCCCGCGGTTCTGTCCTTTTGGCGGGGTCTGGTTTGCCTTCGGCTTTGGCCCTGGCTTCGGTCATTCCTTGTCTTGTGGATGTTGGGGACAGGGTCCTCCTCTGTCTGCCCTTCATCTGGACTTCGATTTCGCTTGGGCTCGTGGTGGGTCGTCTTCCTTGTCTATCGTTGGCTACACCCTGTCTGTTCGTTCAGTGCCTCGTTATCAGTTGCGGTCCCGAGCTGACGATAGCGGTGCGCTGCGGTGCGCGGCTTCAGCTACGAGAAGGCTCTGTTAACCCCCCGGTGAAACAAACGTGAATCACGCTGGAGTTAAATCCTCTATCGATTCTTCGAGGATGTTCAACGAACCTTACGCTGAGATACCCAGTGGTGCTCTTGGCACCTGGGGTTGTCCCGGCTCTCCCGGCGGACGGGTTCATTTGTCTCCCTCTCCCTCCATTTGCCTGACGGATTCATTTGTCTCCCTTTGTCTCCCTTTATTTGGCCCCGGTTGTCTCCCAGCCTGGACGCCTGTCACGGCTCTCTGGGGTGGAGGGGTTCATTTGTCTCCCTTTGTCTCCCTTCATTTGTCTCCCGTTGTCTCCCAGCCTGGATGCCTGGCACGGCTCTCTGGGTGGACGGGTTCATTTGTCACCCCTTGTCTCCCTTCATTTGTCTCCTGTTGCCTCCCAGCCTGGATGCCTGGCACGGCTCTCTGGGTGGACGGGTTCATTTGTCTCCCTTTGTCTCCCTTCATTTGTCTGGCACGGCTCTCTGGGCTTTGTTTCCCTTGATTTGTCTCCCGTTGTCTCCCAGCCTGGATGTCTCCCTTCATTTGTCTCCCGTTGTCTCCCAGCCTGGATGCCTGGCACGGCTCTTTGGGTGGACAGTTTCACTTGTCTCCCTTTGTCTCCCTTCATTTGGCTCCCGTTGTCTCCCAGCCTGGATGTCTGTCACGGCTCTCCAGGCGGACGGATTCACTTGTCTCCCTTGGTTCCCCTTCATTTGTCTCCCATCTCTGTGGGTGGACGGATTGATTTGTCTCCCTTTGTCTCCCTTTGTTTGTCTCCCGTTGTCTCCCAGCCTGGATGCCCCTCTGGGTGGACGGATTCATTTGTCTCCCGTTGTCTCCCAGCCTGGATGTGTGGCACTCACGCTCCGCGGTTTCCTTCACTTCCCGCGGTTCTGTCCTTTTGGCGGGGTCTGGTTTGCCTTCGGCTTCGGCCCTGGCTTCGGTCATTCCTTGTCTTGTGGATGTTGGGGACAGGGTCCTCTGTCTGCCCTTCATCTGGACTTCGATTTCGCTTGGGCTCGTGGTGGGTCGTCTTCCTTGTCTATCGTTGGCTACACCCTGTCTGTTCGTTCAGTGCCTCGTTATCAGTTGCGGTCCCGAGCTGACGATAGCGGTGCGCTGCGGTGCGCGGCTTCAGCTACGAGAAGGCTCTGTTAACCCCCCGGTGAAACAAACGTGAATCACGCTGGAGTTAAATCCTCTATCGATTCTTCGAGGATGTTCAACGAACCTTACGCCGAGATACCCAGTGGTGCTCTTGGCACCTGGGGTTGTCCCGGCTCTCCCGGCGGACGGGTTCCTCTCCCTTCATTTGCCTGACAGATTCATTTGTCTCCCTTTGTCTCCCTTTATTTGGCCCCGGTTGTCTCCCAGCCTGGATGCCTGTCACGGCTCTCTGGGTGGACGGATTCGTTTGTCTCCCAGCCCCAGCCTGGATGCCTGGCACGGCTCCCTGGTCATTCGCGGTGTATTCCGCGGGCACGCATGTGTGTTTGAGGCTCAGAAACGTGTGTTTGAGCGCGCGCGTGCGCTTGATCAAGCCACAGGCAGCATGCTGCGGATGCACGTACGAGTGCTTCAAGTAAATGATTGTGTGTTCTTGGTGTGTTCCAGCTGACCACATCGGCGCGTTCCAAGTGAACACGCACTTTTTGCATGTGACCACATGAGTGTGTTCCACGTCAGCACATGTTTGTGTTCCAGGTGAAAGCATGCGATTGTTCTGATAAAACACATATGCGATCCGGTCAAAATTCCTAGTAAGGGGGTTTAGTCTACAGAGGCCACCGTCGCAGTCACTTTGTGCAGTTTTTCATTCACACAAAGCGGAGTCCTGCAAATACCAATGGATTGCCCGCTCCCCACTGGAGGCGCTAGGATGGCGCTTGGTTTGCGCTAGGGTCTTCGGTGATCTTGGTTTCCAAGAGTTGGCGCGTGGGTTGCCGCGATGGGCTTTGCGTGGCTTTCAAGGGTGTAATGTTGCAGTTCTTACTTAGTACTTGAAGCCAGCCCGCACGTTTACCTTCATCTTACGTGGCCTTAATTTGTCAAATCCACACAGATGGTCGCCGTGACTCCAAAAAATACGGCGAACCCGCGCTAGCCGCGCGCTAGCAAGGCGCTAGCGCAGTGGTCAGCTGTGACCGGTTCCCAGTTACGCTTCAATCCAAATTTGCTTCCGCTCTCCTCGCATGCAATTATCATGGAGTGCGATTTGCTGGACAAAGGGGAGAAACAACGGCTGAGGCAAGACGGCAGGGATGCCTTGTACCGAGCATACGGAAGAATTGGGTTGCGTATTTCCCTGCGAAAGCAAATGCTTTACTGAATCGATACGAAGAGTTGCCACAATACGATCAAAGCACTTTAGCAATCGATACGAAAGACACTGTGCAGCTAAGCGAGAAAGAAGCGCAATGCGCCGGAAAGCTTTTGCTAAGCTGAAGCCTGTAACTGCTGGAGACGCATCCGATACTGATAGTACTAGCAGTAGTAGCAGCAGCAGCAGCAGCAGGCTCGCACGCTAGCAACATGTTGCAAAAAAGCTTGATTGATCGTACACGAACACTATTTTCCTACTTGGGACACGCATATAAAACACAAGCGTTGTTCAAGGCAGAGCCCCATGGAATAGCGCCTCACAGTCGGCTTCGGGAACTTGATTTGTCCATGCGAACACATTTTTGTTGCCCAGGCGAACGCATGTGTGTTGCACATTTGTGTTGCACATGTTTCTCCACATGTGCACAC